ATTCCCCAGCCAGCGAATGCTGGCTGGGGAATTCTGGGAGTTGAAGTCCAGACATCTTCAAGTTGCCAAGGTTGAGAAACACTGAGTTAACTGAATCTTAAAAGTTCCCAAGTACAAAAAACAGGGCTGATCTAATGCCGTTGTCCCCGTAACGACCAGTGCTTTATCCGACCACAGCTAAAACGGATGCCAAGAAACCCGGGAAAGTTGTCAAAAGCGGGGAGACCAAGGCAGCCCCAAAAGCCAAGAAAATTGCAGACGGCAAGAAACCCAGCACCGTAAAAGAGAACAATGCGGCCGAACCGGCATCCTTGGAAGAGGGGAAAAATCCTCCCAAGACGAAAAAACCTGCCGAGTCCCTCAAAGCCCTCGACTCCAAGGCCAAGGAGCCCCCCAAGGCCAAGGAGCCTCTGAAGGCCAAGGAGCCTCTGAAGGCCAAGGAGCCCCCCAAGGCCAAGGAGCCCCCCAAGGCCAAGGAGCCCCCCAAGGCCAAGAAGGCCGTTGAGCCCAAGGACAAAGAAGGGGCAAAGGCCAAGAAGGGGGGGGAAGGCAAAGCAAAGGAACCCCTGAAGGCCAAGAAGGCCACGGAGGCCAAGGCCAAGGAGCCCCTGAAGGCCAAGAAGGCCGTAGAGAACAAGAAGCCCGGGGAAGCCAAGGCCAAGAAGGCTGCAGAGCCCAAGAAAGCGGGGCAGTCGGACGCCAAAGAACCCCTCAAGGCCAAGAAAGCAGCCGAGCCCAAGGAGCCTCCCAAGGAGCAGAAGGCGGCGGGGGAGCCCAGCCAGGCCGGGGAATCTCAGGGCAAGGAAGCCAGCAAAGCAGCTGACGCTCCAGGTATCCTTTCCTCCACCTTCCCAGCTTCCTCAGGCTGGGCCTCCCAGAGCTGCTCCCTCTAGTCCCCTGCAGGCCTGGCCGGGACCACCCGCCTTCTGGTGGGGAGGAACAGGGTGGGCAGCAGTGGGTGAGAAGAAGGCCGTGAGGTTGCCTGCCCCTCTGCAGCTGACAAACGCAGTGGCCTCTTCCAGGGCAGCTGGCTGGGGGCTCCTCTTGGGTGGAGCCTTGTGCACTGAGAGCACCAGCTTTGGGACACCACCCCTCAGGCACGCTTGTAGCAGGGGTGGGGGCATGCAAATCCCTTTCCACGGCAGTGGGAGAGAGGAACGCCTGCAACTGTGGCTTTCCTCATTGGCAACTTGAGATTTGTAGACTTCCAACTCGCAGTCTTTCCCAGCCATCAGTTCTGCGAATGGAAGTCCACACGTCTTAAAAGGGAGCGGAGGGTAGCCACAAACCCTGGTCTGTAGAGTTGGGTTTCTCGGCCACTTTTAAGATAGGTGGACTTCCAACCCCCCCCAGAATTCCAACTGGAAGAATGAGTCCCCGCTCCCCCAAAGGAGCCTGCATCCTTCATTCCTTTCTCTCTTCAACTGGTGTGAATTGTTTAATTAAAAAAAGAATTCTTTAAAAACAATCTTACAGATAAGTCAGAAGCTGTTGAGAGTCCTGAAGCAGTTGAAACTTCCGGCAAGGTAACTTCCTCTATTTCTGTCCCCCTCCCCAAAACCCAGGAGACCCCCCCCCGCATTTCTTCCTTGCAGCCAACCTATTCTCCTTTCCAGATGTATTTTTTGGGGGGGTTTCACGTGATCATATTTTTGGCGCTGGGCAGTTGACCCACATTTATGCAGCAGTCACGTGGCCATGATTGATGACATTTGGGACGGGGGGGCTGTTTTACTTCTGGTTTCAAGCCAGTAAACCCCCACTGAGTACGATACGTCCGCTTAATGATCATGGTGTTTGTTAAATTATTTCAAAATTGGTTGCAGTCCCATGGTGACCCACTCAACGGCCACAATGACTTAACCACCATAATCCCCGGCTCAACTCAAGTCGTAAGCCGAGGACTACCTGTACCTGAAACTGAACTGGGGCACTCTCATTTCCAGCTGTCTTGTCCTACCAGTCTCTCCTTAACATTGAATCCTAAAGCGTCCCCATCTTTTATCCCAGCTCAGCATGGGGGCCATCCGTAGGAGATAACTGGGTCCCTTCCCTTCCCCAAAGAAGAGAGGCAGGAGCGTCTTTTCAGTGGGTAATAAGTGGGAAGAGTCAGAAGCCCCACTGGAGAAAATCCGGAGTGTCCTAGGACAGTGTTTCTCAACCTTGGCCACTTGAAGATGTCTGGACTTCAACTCCCAGAATTCCCCAGCCAGCGAATGCTGGCTGGGGAATTCTGGGACTTGAAGTCCAGACATCTTCAAGTGGCCAAGGTTGAGAAACACTGTCCCAGAAGACCTTCAGCTGGCATAAAG